TTTTGGTTCAATAACGATTTCGAAACCGTATATTTTATTGGTATCGAACAGAGTCATATATCAATTTCACCATAAGAAATCAATATCGTTTGTCGTTTTTAATTTCGTGAGTGCATTTGTACGCGTAAAACGTCCGCGKACAAAGATAATAATGATATCATAACAAATATATAGTCTCGGAAACGTTCGTTTTTACTCTGCCCGCTATCCTCCTCGTCGAGACCGGCAAACACACTATTATGATTATTATTATTATTGTAATATATGGTAAAACGACTGTGTAAAACGTCAGCCGACGACAGCGATAATAATTGATCATTAAAAACGTACATGGAATTGTTTTCGGAGAACAGTGGTTCGATATTCGCTCAGAGATTATAATCGAAAGAGTCCGGACACCATAATATGTATATAGTATACTATATGTTATATATATATATGCTCTGCAGTGCACGATATATACATCGCCATGACGACAAACGTGGACGGTATAGGTGTCCCAGACGGTCCAAGACGGTCGTGTATTTTAATTGGTATTATAGTTTGTTATGAAATTCGAAAGTTAATCAAAAATATCAAACAATACGGTTGTTATAACGATAATTAAAATGCATATATTATCTGCTGTGCAATGTTTGCTCACTTAAAGCCGAGTGTAGGTATATGTTTTWGCACTYGCTGCAACGTTCAAACTAATAAGTCTGAGTCGTCAATGGAAATGAGCTCCATACGGTCCAACAGTAGTATAAATATTATTATGATGGGCTACAGCAGTGTACAGACGATACTACGCGATTCCGGTTCGATAGGTAATACTATTATAAYACCATAACAAGATGCGATCCCGCTGCCGCTTAAGCTCTATAAAATGCAAATTGACGTTGCACTCGCCAGACCGAATATAAATTGTGCTACGTAGGTACATACCTAYGTAGACAAGCAGTGCACAACGTCGGCGGTTTTGTGGTAAATATTAAACGTTTGTGTGCGCTAAATGTATAAATAATATATAGTAGGTGTATATAGGGGGTGCGCGTGCAGTGTTGCATGTGTGTTTGTATATTGCACGCTGTGATGATGSATGCAGTTGTTGAATCGATGCGATATAGCACTGTTTCAGTGCTCGGGGGGGAAGGGTTGAAAGTGGAGATCCCGAAAAAAAAACCGCAGACGAGTCGAGGGTAGTAATATACGAGAGGAGAAATGAGGAAATTAGAATCGTTTAAACTGTTCAAGACTGCAGTTGCCGTCGAGATATATAGGTATACCTATTGCACCATCTCTCCGCGAGAACATAACATTCGTTCGTCTTTTTACGAAGCTCGACGATAACACGATTGAAACGATTTATAAAAAATATGTAACCACAATATTATTATTGTGTTTAAGATAAGCATTCGCGTCTGMTAGTCGATTTCATCGATCTCTAAATGTATATTAATTAACAGAACTTTTTTTGTTTTTGATTTTTTTGTTACGTTCGTTTTTGTTACTTGAAAATGTCCTCGCCATCGTGTTATATTATTCGTTTTCGTTTTTTAAATATTTACTTCTTAATTTTTTTAATTAGCACTTGCTGTTGTTGTGACCGTTGTCGTAATAATATGGATGCCAGATAGCAGTGTATCCGCGTAGGGCATAATAGATTATAGTTTGAATTATATATTRAAAATTTGTATAGCCGCAGTTTGTGTGTAGTTTTACATAACAACTTTTTTAATTTTATAGGTAGGTACAGTGTTGTTGTTCCGTTGGAAATCGTCAAGACGAACATTATAATAATATAATATACTTACTGCCCATATATATATATATATAATAATTACACCTGAAGTGAAAATGACTGATAATATGATATTATTATTCCGATGAACTCTGCTAAACTCGTGAATATTATTATTCGCGGAAACTTTCATCTCATCGGGGCCGGGGTGCATGACATAATATTATATTTTATTTCCGGAACGTGGTAATTTTTGTCAAAAACTTCAAAACCGTTCACGCGTTCTACTCGTCCGTCCGTTCGTCCGCCGCCGCCGCGCTATTACGATATCATTCGTTATCCACCACCAAAAGTTTATTATACTTTATGTTCCCCGTCGGAGTATTGATCTTTGTTACGACGGAATGGGGTGAGATGATGATTATGGATGTGGGGGGAGGGTTATTGCAAAAGTTATAGTTCGTGTGCATGTGTGTGCCTATGTACAGTTGTTTGACATTTAAACTTTTCGATGAAAAAAATTCGTCTTTACCTCGTGCAGAATATGAATCGWTATAAATGAATAGACGAAAAGAAAGAAAATATATAATATCGTGTTTTGGGCAAAAAGTTTTCGCATCTATGAGTGTATTGTTCGTGTTTATATAATGATATAGCCATGTTATCGTCCATCATCGTAGCTATACATAACATTTTTTTTTTTTAATATTAGGTATATTTAAACGTTAATTAGGATGGATGTGATYGAGTGAATAAACTATCTTTTCACGGCATGTTCGAAATGGTTGTCGAATGTTTTCGTTGTCGCCAATCGCATTAATAACAATAAGTAGACGATACATCTCGTCTCGTCGTCGTACAAATTTCTCGCAGTCATGCAACCACACCCGCTGAACTTGGGTACCTCGTGCTGGATTCTACATTATGACAATACGTTCTGGCTGATAGGTAGTAAATGTTTAGTCATACCGTGTTTCGTGTAACACGAGAAGCGTGGTGGTTTTGAATCAACGGTAATAGGTGGTAGGGTAATAGTATGGTGYGGCGGTCGATAAACAAAGTTTTATATAAACAAACCGGAACACTTTGTAAACCATGGTTTGTGTCTCGGCAAAAGTTTGGTTTCGTACCCGAATGAGTGAATGACTTCACTTCGTATCAGCTCYTTCAAAATCAATATCCGAAACGCTAATAATTTACGGTATGCAGTACACCATATAATATTTTATAATGACACGAAAACGTGATGAAAATAATCATTTGATCTTCGTTAATGTTAACCGTGCTATTTAGAACAAAAACCGTTCTATATGTATGTCACACACACACACACACACATACATATATCTGTATGTGCATTTATTTATAATACTCTGAATAGTCTCATATACTCAGTGAGATTGTGAAATATTATTAGTGGCGCCAATCTTATAAGCTGATCATATAAACTTCCCCCACCAATGCTATTGGATCCTCCCCAAAATCATTCCATGAAAAAAGGGAGTGTAATAATAAATAAAAATATAACTTAATTATTTTGTTTATGCGTTTCTTACACTTTGTAGTTTGTAGTAAAATATTGTTACATAAATTTAGATAAATTAACAATCTAAAATCCATTAAGTAAATTAATTTTTAACGTTTTATTATTATTATTAGAAAATAAAAATACAAACAAAAATAAGTCTGGATGATGTTTATAATTTAATTTATTAGTTATTTTTGTATAAACAAAAAAATTATATGGAAATCAAAAACAGAAATGACTTCATTGTAAACGTTGAAAAAAAATACAATTAATAAACATTACATAAATAAAATTTAAAATGGCGCTTTAAAAAATATAAATAATATTAATAAAATATGAGTTTATAATTTTGTAAAAAAAATAAATGAAACAATTTTAACGTACATAATTAATTTAATGAACAAAATATCGAACAGTTAAATTAATTTTATCGTTCAAGTAATACAAACAAAATAAATTACGCCGAGTATTTTTAGCGGACATTATTATAGTCATTTTTATTATTCAAATACATGCGATATAAACATCAATGGGATTTAGTGTGCCAGAACGTCCGGGTCTTAGTCATAAACTTCGGAACCCTAAATAATTAAAAATGTATTTCAATTTTCAACCAATCTAAAATCGCGATTAGTTA